AAAAAGCCACAGCTGCAACGAAGTATGGTAATATTAATGAAAGCATATCTGGCACTCATTCAAATCTCCGCCTCCCTCAGTGCTGTGAAAAGAAAAATCGCTCCCCAATGGAAATTCACAATTTTCACAGAAGTAAAATTACTCTTCTCTGTAAAAATGGTCTTTCATCATTTGCATTAGATGTAATTAAATAATGTAATTAAATTGTTGCAGTAACTAGTGTATCTCTGCATGCTATTTGGCTCCAGGAACGCTCAGTATGTATTTGCAATCCAGACTGAAAAGAACTGTACTCATAGCAGAATTTTGCAAAGTCATATCAGGCTAAAATGTTTGCTCAGGTTTTCAACAAACTTCACAAAATAAGTGGTGTAGAGATACATGAAAACAAACCAGCAGATGCGACTGTGATGCATTACACAATGGCAAGTAAAATTTAATAAAAACTTTAAACAAACAGGTAGCAATATGTCCTTATGAAGGACACTGAATCAAAAATAAACATAACACAAGAAAGAGAAGACAAAGCAATTTGTAAGTGATCTCTCCTACACAGAGGGATTAAATTTATTCCAGTGAATAAATGACTTTGTTGTCTTTTATATACAACGTGGACTTAATAGCAATACAAAATGTTGTTACTGGTTATTATTTTGCTATTTAGAATGATGAAATAGCGATGAAGTTGCATCTGGTACTGCAAGAGAGAGGCATTATTTGTAATCGTAACAACTGGAGCCAAACATCATGGAAGTTAATGGAAGGATACCTATTGCTTGAAATGGCAGGCAGATAATTTAGAGTCTAACCTACAAGTGTGGTCCCAAAACTATATTAATACCTTCATTTCGGGGGTGATGGAAGGACACTGCATTCATCATTTTACATGAACACTTTCTGTTACCTCCATATACTCAGCTTTGTCCCGGATTTATCTAGAAATGCTGCCATGAAACTATTACTCCTACTAGCGTGCCTATGTTCCTAGATGCACAGATTATAAAACAAAAGGTTCTGTTCCCATGAAATATATCTCTATAATACTTTCCAAGTAACATAAGCAATCTCCTGTACACTTGGTCCTACCTGATCTACAGATGCTGACAGGCAAGCACTGCATTACCACTGGCTAATACTCCAGCTCAAACTAACCACTCATGGACCAGAGTGCCAAGGATTCGTTTTATCTCGAGTTGGCCTTTCCAACTTAATTCATGTCCATTCCCACAGATAAGTCAAATGCTTTTGATGTTATTAGTTAATTAGGCATTATGCCAACAACGAAAAGGTTTTAAAAAGATATACCACATGCAAGTCATTTACAAGCAACCGGATCTGAAAACTTTTCCCTGTAGGTGCAATATGGGCAGGGATTGAGAAGAAATGATCTCTCTGGAGACTTGTGCATGGTGAATTCTGCAGAGACACTTCCTCAGTGGAAGGGCACCCATCTCCTTAAAAGTCTCAGGGCACCCAGAAGAACTGCTAGTAACACTTGGCAGGGAGCAGAGATACCATTTCATCCTACCAACACATCACCTCTGTGCTTTGAAGGTATCTAAGAAAAATTACGGCAATCCTGGCAATACTCCTCCTTACTCTGTGGAGATATGCTTTCAGCAGAGCCATTTTGCTATTTATTGAACTAACAAAAAAGAAACTCAAGAGCCCTGTACAAGCTCAGTTTCACACTGAATTAAACTGGTCCCAGCATTTTCAATCCTGAGCAACACAAGTGTAGGAAAGCCACATTGGTATTATCCCCTCTGTGAGCTGCCCCAGCTGAGCTCAGTCACAGCCCTTAATTAACATCCCTCCATCCTATTGCATCTAACATTTATTTGCACTTCCCTTCAGCTCCAAGCTAGAGGAAGCAAAATACACATGCAGCCAGAGGACTACCAGCAATCACCCTGCAACTCCCTGCAGAGGTTCGAAAGCAGCCAAGGACTCCTTTATATGGAAAAACATATTATCAGCTTAAGTAGCAAAATATGCTGTTCCACTGTATCTACCTACAAATAGCTCACCAGGTGATATTCTATTCCAGAACAAAAGTGACTGACTTTTTACTCCACGCTCTGATAATTATTCTGGAATGAAATGAGGTTTTATTCCAGAGTAGAGTTGCCCACCAGGGAACCACTGCAGCACAGATAACTGCATCAGAATAAGCTATGGCAGTGTATGAAAGAAAATTTCCCAGCGCAGAAAGCCTAACATCTCAGAATTGCTGAGATGTTATCTCTGACCTACTTTGCTCAAAGTACCATAGAGATATCTCCACACAGGCATCCAATTATTTGTTGAAATCAACAAGTACTTTTGTGCTACACAGAATTAGTACAAGCTAAAAAAGAGAGTAGAGGAAGATGATTGGCGGGAAGAAGTGTTCTTTTTGTAGCATTTGCCGTACAGGAATTGATTTCACAAACATGCTCATCCAAGCAATGTAGTTCATTCAGTAGACCATCAACTCCCATCAAAGAGTCATTCTTAACCTAAAATCAGCATGCCCATAACAGAAACAAATGAACGGAAAAGAGCAGAATAGTTCTTTAGAAACAGCCCAGCTGTCTCATGCATCCGACACTCCCACATACAAATGTTTTCATTGAAGGGGAAAAGAGTGCCAACCCTGAAGCTGAATACCATAGTTAAAAATGGCCATCAAAACCTAACTATGTACCATGCAAACACTGTAACCTAAGGCACTACGCACATTCCCAGAGAAGACCACACCAAAAAAGGACACTTCTGGAGTTCTTATATTTTCAAAAGCAACGTTCCTAATAAAGGATTTTACAAGGCAATAAAATACTTTACTAGGTAATTAAATTCTCCTAAGGTGGCTTTTGCTAACTGCACAGCTTATTGCAAGGACAGCTGTCCCCAGGGATTAACAAACTCCAGGTTGAATATGAGAAACATTACTATATTTTTCTGCTTCTCTGAAACTTTGTGAAATATTGAAAGGGTTTGAGAGACAAATTTAGAACAAACTGATTTAAGGAGAATAAATTGGTAAGGACTCCAGTAAATGGTGTGGTGTAATATTACAGGAAGGGTCTCTTACCTTAAAAGCACAGTTAATCTCACTTAAGTCAGAAAGTCCACTTTGGTGCAAACTGTTGCAAAATTTAGCTCAGTTAGTGCAGATATGAAATTTGCTACCATTTATGGGACAGTAATGTCTGTTTCTCTGATCTGTGAAAATTAAAACCTTGTTCAACTGACATTACAGAAGGTTTAGTATATGACAGCACCTCTGTACCATAAGACACTATTTCTTAGAACAGTTCTTTGCCTTTGATAAGCTATTGAGTGAAAGAGGAAAGAGAGGACATTTCTGTTTTCTCTGATTAAAAAATAAAGAAAAACTAAAATTCTGTGCTAAATTAGATTCTTAGGTCAGACTGGAAAGAAATTTAGTTTCTTCTTAAAAATTTTCCTCCCAGACCCTAAGAAAAAGACAGTAAAGAGAGATAAATATTACTAATGCTTTTAATATTTATTAGAAAAACATAATTAAAATAATACTAAGGGAAAAAATAATTCTCCATCTGAGATCACTTATGGGAGTCTATCTGCTTGCAGAAGCAAGATAAAAAAGGCCCATTATTAATGAAACCTTAACATTTAATCAATGCAATTTCCAGTTTCTAACAATAAATTCTGTAGCTGAAACCACACCAAAAAAATGCCACCAATTGCAAATCAGGGGTAGAGACTCTGAAACCTGCACTTCTCACAGCATGATTAGTTAGTCCAGTAAATACCTGCCATCTCCTTGTTGAAAGATGTGACCACCGACTGAAAATGAAACGACAGGGCAGACAAAAAGTATAGCACATGCAGTGTACTTGATAGAGATCTGAACTGAATGATGGATTAAGTTTTTGTTTGTTTGTTTAAGAGTAGGATACTGATTGGTTTGGGTTTTTTGTCCAGAAGTAGACTCACAAAGGCATCTAAGGTTTTGGGTTTTAGACATTAAACCGTAAGTACTCTGCCACCTAGTAGCATTCCCAACCTGAAAACAGCCACCTGTGTTCCCAGTACCAGTAGGTTTCAGCTCCTGTCTGACCCACCCATCAATACTCAGGGAAGGAAGCTTTTTGCTATTGAGGCTTATGAATCCCTTATGAATCAAATTCAACTTGACGATCTGCAAAACAAGAAAATTTGAAAATTACTGTTCTCTATAACTCTTGGAGGTGTTAGCAACCTGGAACAAGACCGACAAGAGACACAATATAACAAGGGTTACCACGCTTCCCTCTAGGAAATCCTGAGGAAAAGTATGCACCTACCCTCATTAGGGGGCCAACAAGCATGGGCCATATGAGCACAAAACTAAATAACGACTGGTTTCCTTAGGATTTATTTCTGATGATTAAATTCTTTGAAGTCTAACAATATAGAGATGGCATTATAACTTTTTCCCTATGGCTGTGATACCTGAAGTGTCTCTGTCCCTTCTGGGTTTTGTAATCTTTAATAAGGAAGGGTAGACCACACTACACAAGCTTGAAATGCTCTTCTCTACCTACTCACCTATTTTAATGAACCTTGCAGAAACACAGTATCTTTGAAATTATTATATGCAAACTTAGGCTGAAATTAGTTAATAGGTTTCAATTTTATCATTAACACTGTCAGGCCTAAGCAAAATTACGTACAGAGGAACACATAGAGTGGAACAGCATATGCTTTAGTTCAGTAGGAACCACGGCTGAAGACAAATATTCGTGGCAGAAGGGACAAGCCACCCTCTCTTCCCCACAGCACTGAAATGGCAGCTAGTCACCTCACTCCCTCCTGTTATGCTAGCATTGCAAGTTCTGACTTTTTTATCCCCAAACACAAGTGAAGAATATCAATTATTTAGTAAAAAATCCCAAACAACAACCTTTGTTCTCATTAGCATAAATTTAACATGGAGAGCATCATACTATGACTTGCAGTAAATATATACACAATAGATCATATTCGTATACCATGATATATGGTGCTGCTGTTGCTGTTAAGATACGATTCAACCAATGGTGCTTGTTCTTCCGAATGTTTCATTCTACGTGTTCTTGTGCGACTGTCCACATTGGACTGAACCATTAATGGCTCCTGGCGCTTTTTTTTCTGCTTCTGTTCTAGCAATGCTCTCTGAGGAAAATACAAAGAAAAGCATCTGTTACTGGACTCCAAACAGTAGCAACGTATGATGACAAACAATGGATATCTTTACATTCTCCAGTCAGCGGCAGCAGTTGGCAAGTGGGATATTGGGTTATAGGAAATCTTTCCAAAAAAAACACAACCAACCCACTGCTAAAACACCTTCTGCTGAAAGCAGCAAATAATGAAAACAGATCTTTCTGAGCAGTCCACCAGCTATCAGAGCTTGCTTGGAAATAATCCTTGGGAAAACAACAGTGTGAGAGTACTGGGTGTGAAGCAATGGGAGGGTAAGCAAGGGCATGAGGCAGAGATGCCGATTTAAGTTTCTGTAAATTAAAAGCAGGTAATCTGCAAACTAGAATTGAGTGATAATGCTGGACATGACCCTAATTTAACAACCATATAAGATGAAGTTTAATTAAACACTGGAATTTCTCAGCTAGACCTGCTGAAAACCAAAACCTTCAGCATCCAATGGCACCATAGGCATCTCTTCCTTTGAGCCCTCTTCCACAACTTCAGAGATCTGAACTGTTAATTTTACTTATCCATTACCTTATGTATTGAGTTTGCGTGGCAAGGTGTTGGTAGCAGGGGGGCTACAGAGGTGGGTTCTGTGAGAAGCTGCTAGAAGCTTCCCCCATGGGCTGACAGAGCCAACACCAGCCGGCTCCAAGTCAGACCCGCCGCTGGCCAAGGCCGAGCCCATCAGCAACGGTGGTAGTGCCTCTGGGAGAACAGATTTCAGAAGGGGGAAAAAAGTTGCTGGGGCACAGAAACTGCAGCTGGAAAAAGGAGTGAGAACATGTGAAAGAAAGAACTCTGCAGCCCCCCAGGTCAGTGAAGAAGGAGGGGGAGGAGATGCTCCAGGCGCTGGAGCAGAGATTCCTCTGCAGCCCGTGGTGAGGAAGACCACGGTGAGGCAGGCTGTCCCCCTGCAGCCCAGGGAGGTCCACGGGGGAGCAGATCTCCACCTGCAGCCCGTGGAAGACCCCCACGCCGGAGCAGGTGGGTTCCCGAAGGAGGCTGTGACCCCGTGGGAAACCCGCGCTGGAGCAGGCTCCTGGCAGGACCTGCGGATCTGTGGAGAGAGGAGCGCAGGCTGGAGCAGGTTTTCTGGCAGGACTTGTGACCCCGTGGGGGACCCACACTGGAGCAGGCTGTGCCTGAAGGACTGCACCCCGTGGAAGGGACCCACGCTGGAGCATTCGTGAAGAACTGCAGCCCGTGGGAAGGACCCATGTTGCAGAAGTTTGTGGACGACTGTCTCCCGTGGGAGGGACCCCACACCGGAGCAGGGGAAGAGTGTGAGGAAACCTGCCCCTGAGGAGGAAGGAGCGGCAGAGACAATGTGTGATGAACTGACCGTAACCCCCATTCCCCCTCCCCCTGCACTGCTGTGGGGAGGTGGTGGGGAGAACTGGGAGTGGAGTTGTGCCTGGGAAGAAGGGAGGGGTGGAGGGAAGGTGTTTTGAGATTTGGTTTTATTTTTCATTACCCTACTCTGGTTGATTGGCAATAAATTCAGTTAATTTTCTCCAAGTCGAGTCTGTTTTGCCCGTGATGGTAATTGGTTGAGTGATCTCTCCTGTCCTTATCTTGACCCATGAGCCTTTTGCTATATTTTCTCTCCTCTGTCTAGCTGGGGAGGGAAGTGATAAAGCAGCTGCATGGTGCTTAGTTGCTGGCTGGGGTTAAACCATGACACCTTACCATCTCCATGCTCCTGTACAATGATTTTTTGCTTCTAGAAAGCAGATGCACTAAAACTGAAGAATAAGAATGGAGAATGGACTCCTTCAGCTCCATAAGTTGTGTGGAACACCTCAACATGACTTCAAAATGATTGGAATTTAGTACAGGATTATGGCATAAATAGAAAGTATTTTAATTTGAAAATGAGATGCTGGTAGACACGCAAGCTGATAAATCAATGGGAAAAGAAATGTATAGAAAAACATAAAATTAAACTCACAAGGTTTAACTATAAACGTGACAAAGTTTGTGAAAAGGGGACCACAGAAAAAACAAAGGAAAAGTGGAAACCTCAAACCCCACTAAAACTTGATGGCAAAATTCCCTGAGATTTCATGGCAGAAATTCTGAATCACTTTCTGGTACAAGTCATGTAGGAATATAATAGCAAAATAGGCAACATAGCACATAGTGCCACTAGTTTACAGTCACAAGGGCTAAATCCCTGGAACAGAAAGAAAAAAATGTAAAAACTTTGCGGTAAACCTCTGTTGGCTGACATGTCTGCCAGAACCTCTTGTCCTTTCTGGTCCATCAAAGGGGTAACAAATACATTGTAAGTCAACTTAAAGCAAGCAGGCAGTGGAAATGAGAATCACTCAAACCACAGTGATAAGAAAAATTTTAAATGAAGTCAGACTTCTAAGCAAGCTGTAACCTCCACAGACCTCTCTTTTGCATTCCCTAATCAGAGGATGCAATTTTCTATCAATTACCAGATATACGTCAGTGATTTCATTACTCCAAGATCTAGACTTGAGAGAGCAAGAAGGTCCCCCTCCAAAATCTTACCTGCCTGTCAAGCTTCTGCTGACGCAGGCTGCTCCCCTCATCATCCAGAACACTGCAAAGACAAAGAGTACGTAATTGGAACAAATTTATCACTCAAAACAACATGTAACAGCAATCACTGGAGCAAACTCTTGCAGGAGTTTTCCATTTAAAACTCCCACTATGTTCCATGGAAGTTTGCCTGCCCTAACCTGCAAAAGTTGGCTCAAGAGAATTTAAATGCAGTCCATGCAAAATTGAAAAACTCTGGCTCACATAAACTTCAACAAATATATGTATTCAGCCAGTTCACAAAGAAATGCAAAATCCACAGTTTACGGCTTGTTTTCTTCTCCACTGTCTTCTAATGCAAAATGTCAATGTACACAGCAACAGGGTTTGATTGCAAATTTGCACCTAAAGCATATAAAAAGTGAGAAGAGTAAGAGAGCTGCTTAGCAACTCAGCAGTATTTAAAATTACATTAGGAAAATTAACTGTCTAATCTTCTGCACACTGAAAACCACAATTTATTCCTGAATATCTGAAAAGTAACACTTATTCCCATACACTTCAACTTTTAGAGACTGGCAAGACACACAGTATTGTGCACTGCCATATTTCTGCTAATTGTTGCTAGTTGGGAGATTAGCCCCTGCACATTCAATCATTTTCATTAATTAGATGGTAAAAACTAATGGCATTGAAATCAGAAAATTATTTTTGTGAAATATTTTATCAAACTACTGACTACACTTTATTTTTCTGGAGAACAAAGCTCTCCCTTGTAAGAACATTATGGTTAAACATTGAACATAGATAATTAAATCTTTCAGACTGTAATATATCTTCTACAAGGAAAATAGTGCTATAGAACAATAAAACCCCAGCCTCTTACAAGTAGAATCCATTTTCTGTTACAACACATTTTTATAAAAGATTAGCCCCCTTTTTTATAATCACTCTTAACAATCAAAAAGATAAAAAGAAAAAATCCAGGACAAATGAACCTGGATTCTGACCTATATACAACCAAATTGTATTGCAATGGAAATTTCATAAAAAATGTGACTTCCCATGTATTAATAGATACTTTTTAGGAGACAGTAACATTATAGTAGTTAGACAAGACAGCTAATAAAGGCATGCAGAATGCCACCTTTCCAATGCCAGCATTATCAAAGACCTATAATTAAGCATTATTGGTAGCATCAGCCTTTTACAAGTTATACTCACGTTGTGTGTTACAAAAGGCTGATGTTCCACAGAGTGAAACTATGCTGTACAAGTACCTCAGGTATGAAATTACACAGTCTCTTGTGGAGGTAATGCATTGCTCATAGTCCACAAAAAAATTAAAGAAAAAACGCTTCACACTCACGAAAATGTTCTGCTTTAGACCAAGCATTCTTCATTTGACAAATTACAGAAGCAAGTTCTAAAAAGAAGACACACATTCCTCCATGGTATACAATATCAGGTTTTTTTCAAGACTGCTTCACTACAACTGCAATACATATTAAGTGCACTCCTAGAAAGTAAAACTACCTAACGGATATCTTTGGCCATACGATTGAGTAAAAGATGCCCGAGTATAAAGTTTCAGGCTTAATGGCCTGAACAAGTCCTCCTCATTTAAGACAATACTTGAAAAAAGCCAAAACCATGCAATGATGCTAATACAGACCATAAGAACTGCAGAGGCAGCAGTGCATATATATAGCTCCAATACGCAGAGAGGTCAAGAGCCAATATTGCTCCACTCCACCAGTCGTTTGCAGAGCTAAGGAGAAAACTCTGATCTCTTCTCTCCTCTCATCTTCTGCTTTATAAATCAGACTATGCTGACTGCCTCACATATGTTAAATGAGCTATATATACACTTCTCAGACGTTCCCATAAACCACCAGTTCAGTAATTATCTTTATGTGAATATAATGGTTTTCAGTATTATGCTAGATTGGCTATAATTCTTAATTCTCTATCGCAGACAAGATGTCTAAGCGCTCTGGATGACTCTAGCTTCCTCTGCTTTCCCATCACACCATATCCTGGCATAACACACTGCACAGAACAAGGGAGCAGGGAAACGTCCTCTGTCAGGTTCTAAACCTTACCTGTGACTCCCTAGGAAGCCACAACAAGATAAATTCAGGTTCAGGTAAGCAAGCACAGCTCCCACAGGTCTCTTTATGCCCAATCTTACCACAGTAAACATGACATCTGAAGTAACACCACAGTAAACATCAGTCAGAGGAAGGGTGTGATTTGCATTGATTCAGCATTCCATGAATGCAAAGCAACTATCAGACACACTGCCAAAAAAATGGAACTCCATCCAAAAACTATGGATGCTGTAATGCTAGAACACCTCTCCATATTGCCCTTCTACTGCAAGACGTTGTTTTTAT